AATGCTGGGTGAGGAGCTCCCTGCCCTGGCTGACCCTTCAGACAGCACCAGGCATGGACCTGACGAGGCAAAGTTGGGCAATCCTTCGAGAAAAGAGAGTAAAAACCCTGTTGAGAAGTGCCAGAGAACAACGTAGGCTCAATCTTCAAGCTGACCTAGGGACAGCCTCCACCAGCAGAAATGATGAGAGTCTTCTCCCTCAGCTTCCCTGCTACTACAGCTTGGGCCTTTAACATGATTCCAGCGACCCTCTGAGGTCACCTGCTCCTTCCCAGCACCCCAGAGCCCAGCGGCTGGGGGATGCTCCCCAAAACCTCTCCCTAGCCCAGCTCACAGCCTTCAGGCTGTGGTTCCCTGCAGTGCTGTCCCCAGTGTCCCCTGCTGCCACCAGAGCAGGGACAGGCTGCTGAGCTGCACAGACCTTCTCCTTCTCCCCTGAATGCCCCAGGTGCAGCAAAGCCAGATCCAGGGATGCCCACTGGGGTTAGGCCAGGCCTGCCTTTGGTCCCCATGTCCTCACAAGCACTTCTGACCTCCAGGCTCACCTTCATCTCCCTCAGAGGCTTGCAGGAAGCCTGACGAGCCTTTCTTGGTCCTTCAGAGGTCCTTCCTCTCCCCAAATCCCTGTTTCCCTCTGCGCCTCTCTGGACAAGCTGAGCCCACAGCTCTCCCTCAGCCTTCCCCCCTTATTTCTCCAGCCCCTGCCCCACCTCCTGAGCCTCTCCTCCTGGGCAGACTGGGCCACTTTTGGGAAGGATGACTCCATACCTGGCCCTCTGCTCCACTCAGGACAGGAGATGCGTTGCACATGCAAGGGGATCATCCCCTCTGCTTGGCACTGGGGAGGCTGCATCCCCTGCAGAACCCAGAGTTGGGATCCCAGGGACTACTGGGACACCCCCACACTGGATAATCCCCTCTGCTTGGCACTGGGGAGGCTGCATCCCCTGCAGAACCCAGAGTTGGGATCCCAGGGACTACTGGGACACCCCCACATTGGATGAGCCCAGAGGTGATGGGTGGAGGCTGAGGCCAAGGTGCAAGGAGAGGCTGGGTTGGCTCAACAGAGCCAGTGGCTGATTCCTGCCCAAAGAGGTGCCAGAGGCACCAGGGCTGGAGAGGCACGGGGAGAGCCCCAGGGGCACAGAAAGCCTGGCTGTGCTCAAGGCAACAGCCTGAAAAGTGTGAGCAGGGCAGCCCTGGGGCCAGGCTGGGATCCCCCAGCTGTCCACAGGCTGGACAGGCTCAGATTGTTGCCTGGCAAATCCAGAAAACCTCCAGAAAACGTCAAGCCCTCTGTTTTTCCTCTCAGCCAGGGCAGCACAAATTGTGTTGGCACAAATCCCTCTCAGCTCCTCACCAGCATGGGCATGGCCAACAGCCAGGACAACCACAGCTGGAGCCAGGACAGGTTTTGCCCCACCAAGCAAGAGCTGTGTCACCACCATACTTTCTGGAAAAATCCCTTTGCCAGGATTTCTCTCCTGGGAAGCTGAGAAGCCTCAGAGAAAAAGGAAAACAATAATTATCTAATTTGCTTCCCCTGTGTTTTGCTGCTTTGGAATGTGTTTGGAGATTGCTTATCCAACAGGTGATTGTTTCATTGGGTTCTGCTGTGAATTATTTTGACTCATTGGCCAATTATGGCCAAGCTGTGTTGGACTCTGGAGAGAGTCACAAGATTCATTATTATTCTTTTAGCCTTCTGTCTGTATCCTTTCTGTATTCTTTAGTACAGTTTAGTTTAGTATTCTTTAATATAATATAGATCATAAAATAATAAATTAGCCTTCTGAGAACATGGAGTCAGATTCTTCATTTCCTTCCTTCTTCTGGGAACCCCGCAAATACAAGAGAGCTGAGAGACACTGAGGGGACACAAGGGTGGGAAGGGAGCCTGGAATATCCATGTCCAGGGCTGGGAGCAGCAATGCCACAGCCACCCCTCCCTGCTCTGCCACTCTCAGCCCAGCACCCAAGGGACAATTGCCTCTTCTTGAAGCCCATGAGGTCTTTCCAGCCCTGACCTGTGGTGGTTTGCAAAATAGCTCCAGAGGGAGAGTCGGAGGGGTTTAGAGACAGGAGCAGTAAAAAGATCAGGTAGGGAGGGAGCTCAGCACAGAGCCTTGCTTGGCCCTCTGGTGACAAAGGAGGAAAGTGATGCCTCAGGTTTAGCTTTTATATTTTTCACATTCTGTGCTGCTTTAGTGTGTGGGTCTGAGCTTCACATGAGGGGATGGTGAGCTCTGTGCACAGAGCAGGGAGACAAAACAATTCCTGCTCTAGCTGGGGACCAAGGACAAATGATCCAAATCTCAGCCCAAGAGCACAAACAACGTGGGGTGAAGAGAGAAAAACAAGCAGGATGGGACTGCATGGGCTGGAGCTGGAATTGGACAATTAACTCCAAGATGCAAATGGAGCAGAACTTATAAAAATTACAGACCCCACGATCAGCTGTCCATTTTGTGACCATTTTGGTTCATCTTGGGTGCAGCCCTGGCTGGGCTCTTGTGCTGCCCAAGGTGGATCCATGGAGGAGATCCTTTTAATAAATCCCTGCTTTATTCTTTAACTCTGTCTGGCCTCTGTTCTGGGTCAGCTTCTCAAGGCATCAAAAGCAAACCAGAGACAGGGGTGGCCTGGGGTTTTGGGGTTGGGTGGGATTTTTTTCACCAGCAGACTTTACATTCTGTTACTGACAAAGCAGGGAAACCTGAGCCCAAATTTCTCTCTAAATTAAACTCAACAGCACTGATTGCGCACACACAGAAAGGAACATCCTACCTGCTCTGTGACAGAAGGAACACCAAAAACCTTTATAATCAGCTGAAAGTGATTCCCATGCTCTCTCAGGAGAGAGCTCCATCCCCACAGAGCCCCGGGTGGCCACACAACAACCTCATGCTCCAGGAGACGTGGGGTTTGTTGGGTTTGGGGTTTCTCCATGCACCAAACCACCACACTTTCCGTGAGGAGTTGGGCAGGAGCTCCTTTGCCTCACCTGCACTTTCACAGCACCCTCTGCTGCCCAGGCTGTCCTGTTTGCTTTGGAGAGCACCATCCCATGGACAGGAGCGCTCCAAGACTGCCGAGTCACAACTTCTTTTTTGCCAGGGTCAGGATTAAATGTGTGAGATGGTATTTGTTGTTGGGACTCAGATGTTGATTAGTTCTTATCTATGTTACAGTCTCACAAACCCTGAGCTCTGCAGCACTTCACTCTAACAAACTAAAATTAAAGCTCCATCTCTGTCTCTGCAAGGTTTTTTAAGGATAAACTATCCAATTAAGAAATGACACCTAAATTATTTTTACTTTTAACCCAATAACCCACCACCCATGGCCTGCAATGTGGACTTTTTATCCAGTTACACAAAACCACCCAAACCCATGGAGAAGGTGAAGAAGAAGGATCAGCCACGGCCCTAAAACCTCCATCTTGTTTATATATATTACTGTATTCTAAAACCTTAAACTCTAAGTTTCCCACCCTGTGATATCACACACTTCTATCCAAACTCCACACCCACAATCCCAGTTCCATCATTCCATTTTGGAAGCCTTCTCCACGGCCTCAGGTCAGATGCAGTGTTCTCCTTGGGGTCAGTGCCTGTCAGCACAGAAAGTCTGAAATTCTCAGCATCCAGGGTTCCAACACAAGACCTCAGTGCCCACATGGCCGGCAAGCAGCAAGCTGAAGAGCAAGGAAATTTAGGAAAAGCTTCCTGAGATGAAAGCAGCGTGGGGCAGGGGGTCTCAGGTCCCTCTCTGCCCGTGTGTGGGGGATGCTCCCTCCCAGGGCTCCCATCATGGTCACACCAGTCCTGTCCTGGCAGCAGGAAGAGCTGCTTTCCTGGTGGGAAAGCAGCTCAGTGCTCACCCTCTGGCTGCTTTCCAGCAATCCCCTCCTCTCCCCATGCCTTTCAGTGGGTGATTGTTGCAGGGAAATAAAATAACTGTTAAAGTCTATGGAATGAGCTTGGCTCAGAACTCTTAATTTTTATCCTGATTTTTTATTTTTTCTGATTTGCTCATGCCTTAATGGGCTGTGCAGTGATTTACCCTGGGGGGCTGCCCACTGATGTGGCCCTAAACTTGATGCCAGGACCAGGAGTGGCCATAGGAGCCTTTCTGATGCCCTGTCCCCAAAAGGAAGCCAAATTCTGTCCGTGCTGGGAGGAAGAGGGAGTGGCTTCTTTCTCATCTGCCCATACCTGATCCTGTCCTTCCACCTTTCCTCCTCTCCCTGCAGGGGAAAAATCAGATTCTTCTCTGAGCACCTGCTTATTTGAGGGCGAGGCAGCTGGGAGGGCTTCTGGCACTGCCTCCAGCTAGTCTTTGGTACAGACCAGTCATTAGAGCTGCAGGTAGAGGTGGAGCTGCTGAGGCTTTCCAAAGCCTGTCTGCATTTGGGCCAGCGTGGCTGGACCAGCCCTGGCAGGTTGGGCTGCAGGAGGGATGCAGAATCCCAGGGGGAGCACGCTCAGCACCACGGCCCCGCAGCAAGGAGTGGGCACCTGGGCAAGGAGTGCAGAGGTGCCAAAAATGACACCCAGAGCTCGTGTGACCTGCCACCATCCCTGCAGGGACCTCCTCAGGCAGCAGGCAGCTCCTGGCCAAAGGCATCACCAGCTGGCGAGAGGGGAAGCCTGGCAAGATGTGAAATCTCCATCCACAGCTCCTTCCCTCCCTGGGGATGGATTTATTTTTCTTTCTTTTTTTTTTTTCTTTTTTTTTTTCTTTTTTTTTTAATTGAGTACCCCCTGAAGTCACTATTGGGAGTGGGAGGTTCTGCATTTTCAGGCTCATTCCGTGCCAGGAGGCAGCAGGAAGAGCCAAAAGGAGCTTTCCCAGTGGAGTTTGGTGGGATGAGCTGGGCTGGTGGCACTCATCCCTCAGCTCCCAGGGCACCAGCAGCATCCCCCTGCACCAGAGCCGCTCCCAGGGCAGGTCCGAGCCGGGAGTGCCCACCCCGGGCTTCGCGGAGGTCACGGCCGATGCCGAACGACTCCATCAGCTGGAACCAACCCATTTGTCACAGCTCTCAGCTCTTCCCAGCGCCACGGGAACATTCCCAGGCAGGGCGGCTGTCTCCTGCCGGAGCAGACTCCAGCCCGCAGGTAAATCACACCTTCGTGGGAGGAGGGATCAGAGGGGGTGGCGGCTCCCGGCGCTCCCGAATTCGGAGCAGAGGGAATGCCAGCCCCATGCGAGCGGCAGCAGGGACCTTCTGCTCGGGGGACAGCGGGGACAGAGGGGACAGCTCTTGTGACCGCCACGGTAATCCTCCTGCTTGGTGCCATCCCTCCCTGGGGACAGCGGGACGGGGCTGCAGGCACTGGGAGAGCGCCGGGGATGGGACAGCAGCGCTCCCCCGGGAGCCCCAGCTCCACAGGAATGTTCTGCTCAGGGAGGAACCTGGGAGTGTTTGGAGAGGGGTCAGCACCGTGCTGCTGCCGCTAAAAGAGGTGCCTTTTACCCTGCTGCACCTCTGGGGCGCCGCCGAGGGTTCTTCCAGGTCTGCTGGGACGAACAGCATTTACCATTACCATTTCACAAAGGGAATATTTTTCCAAGCTGGCTGTCGGGAGGAAAGGGCCATCCATCCCAGGCAAGGCTCTGCCCTGGAATTTGCATGCCCTTCTCCTGACGCTAGGTCACAAAAATGCGTTCAGCCTCTCCTCGCTCTGCGAAAGGCTCGCCCTTAAATTAAAACAAGTCCGGAGCCTCGTGGAGCCCAGCGACAGGCGACACGAGGAGGGCTCCGGGTGACGGTGGCAGCCCTTGGTGCCCCGGTGGGAGATGGGGTCCCTGGCGGTGCCCAGGTGAGCGGGGCGGTGCCCGGGGCGGTGCCCAGGTGAGCGCTCCGGTGCGCTGATGCTCCGCTCCGAGCCGCTCCGGCCACACCTGAGGCAGCAGGTGGCTTTTGTCACCTCCTGCAGCACGGGCAGCCCGTTCCTCCCGCGGCAGGATGGGGGGCAGCCGGGAAGTGATGGAAAATCTCTATTTCACCGGGGCAGCCGGGAAGTGATGGAAAATCTCTATTTCACCGGGGCAGCCGGGAAGTGATGGAAAATCTCTATTTCACCGGGGAAGCAATGATAGCTGGCATTCAGCGGGAATTTGGCCTGCTAAGTTGCTCCACATAATTGAACTCCTCTAAGTAGCTGAGGGAGTATTTCTGCTGCAAATTTGTCACCTCCAACAAATTTACCCATTTGCCCACGGCAGAGGGGTTGGAAAAGGATGATCTTTAAGGTCCCTTTCCACCCAGAGCACTCCCTGCTATTTTATCTCTGTTTCCACGAGATAAAACAGCAGGGAGATGTTTTGTGGTAGGAACAAGCCGAAGCAGACATTAAAATCCTTCCCGGGAGGAACAGGGGAGTCCTGAGATGGCATTTCACTCAGGTCTGCAAAACCAAGCCAAGGGAATCCCAGGATCTCTCTCAGCCATAAGGAGAACCCAAGCAAAGCACATTATTTGATTTCTTTTTAAGAACATGGCCCTGCAACTTAAAATTGGGTGGTTTACTCCTTATTAGTTCAGCTATCAGTGGAACAAAACAACCTATTTTTCCAACTATCCAAGAAATTATTTTACATGAATGATTTATAATCACCTCCTCGAAAACCAGGTTTGCCCAGGCACGTACAGATTTACCTGTACCTGTGCATGTTTCTGAATACAAGGGCCTGATGCAGAACATGGGATTAAAATGTGATGGAATCTGGACTCTGGCTTTGTTCAACATTAGCAAAATGAGCCATTTTCAGAATTAGAGGACTTCTGGTTTAGAATCATTTCACTCGTGGAGGGGCCAGGTTGATATCCTGGTGGAAGTGCAGCGCACATCAAGAGAACTCCCCCCAGCTTCTGTGCCAGTGCCAGCAAAATCTCTCAATGTTTTGACAACGTTTTGCAGAGCACCACGATGTGGCTGTTCCTCACCATTTCTTGTTTCATGCTCGTCGCTGCAAAGTCAGAAGAGAACCCCGAGGTGTCCATGGATGTTGTAAGTCCCTTCTTGTCCTGCTCGCTTGAGCAAGTTATCCACATGATCTGTGCAAGACCCACGGGCTCTGTGTGTCTTCACCGAGGATTGACACCAGGATTTTATGAGATATTTGTCTCCCTGCTCTTACATACACGGAGATTTATGGCAGGCATTTATGGGGGGGACTTTGATCCAAGTCAGCAGGTTTGGTCAGAACAGCCCTCTCAGGCTCAGAGTTTGGCTGTCTGTGCTGCCCTGCTCTTGACTGCAACACAAAAAGTGACAGTTCTCCGCCAAAAATTCTGGCTGGAGTCATGGCATTGCCACGGCGTTGGTGGAAGGGACATTGGGATGTCCTGAGCCCACCCTCCCCCTGGAGTCACCACCAGCACTGATGGCTTTGCCCAGCCAAGCCCTGCCACCCCTGAGGACACAGACCCTCCCTCCCTGGGGACTGTCCATGCTGTCCTTCCCTTCCCACAGGGCGAAATTGTCCGGTACCACGGGTACCCCTATGAGGAGCACGAGGTGCTGACAGAGGATGGATATTACCTCACCCTGCAGAGGATCCCCCACGGCAGAGACAACCCAGAGAGCTTCAGCCTCCCCCACAAGGCAGGGGCGCAGGCATCCAACATGTTCTGTCCCCGTAAGTGCCACAGGGAGCTCTGCCTGGCCCTGGCACCCCGAGGGCTTTGCTGGGCTGGAGTAGCCACGGCCAAGGCTACCTCACCTTGGGCTGGCTCCTCCAGGAGGCAGATGTCCCCGCAGGAAAACCAGGCAAATAGCCTAGGGAGCAGAAGAAATGCAGGTGCCCACCATGCTGACCTTGTTCTGGGAGGATTTGCTCCGAAGAGGAAGGAGGATGAATGGGGCAGAGAAATCTTGCCCCAGGTTTTACCTCAGCTCAAAACCAGAGAGTGGAGCAGCAAAAAGCCATTAGTCAGGGAAGGAAACCAAACCAGGCGGCCAATCCAATGCCATCTCACTATTTTGCATCCTCCCTGTGTCCAGCTCAGTGCCATCTCACCATCTGGAGATCTTCCTGTTCCGCACTGAAACCCCTGCTTCCAAGCGGTGGTGGGGTGAGGCCCCGTTCTTGTCATGTATATGGCAAATAAGTGCAAAAAACCCCTCAGATTTCCAGTCTTTGCCCTGGCCTGCTTCAAAAACACCTCCCAGAAAGGCTGAGGACAGGGGACAGGGGACAGTGTCCCTGCCCTGGCGTCACCTCCCAGGGGTGCTGCCAAAGCAATACCTGGATGTGAATGATCCATTTTGCTCGTGGTCACAGAAAATGATTCCTCTTCTTCTTCCTCCAGCTCCAAAGGCCGTGGTCCTCCTGCAGCATGGCCTGGTGTTGGAGGGAAGCAACTGGGTCACCAACTTGCCCAACACCAGCCTGGGATTCATCCTCGCCGACGCTGGCTACGATGTCTGGATCGGGAACAGCCGCGGGAACAGCTGGTCAAGGAAACACCAGGAGTTTGAGTTCCACCAGCAGGAATACTCAGCTTACAGGTATTTGGTGTGAAACTGGAGGGTGGGCAGCTCCCTGGTACCCCCAGCAGTGTCTGCAGGCTGCAGGAGGGGTGCTCCCGGCAGTCACACCCTCTGCCAGTGGGCAGAAATTGGGTTGCTTGTTGCTGCCAAAGCTCTTGCCCACACCCCAGCAGCCACGGCAAGGTCAGCAAGGGTGATTTTGTCATGGGCCTGTCTCCCCTGCAGCTTCCATGAGATGGCCATGTATGACCTTCCAGCGTCCATCAACTACATCCTGGAGAAAACGGGGCAGGAGCAGTTGTACTACGTGGCTTATTCCCAAGGCACCACCACAGGTACTGAGGAGGAGAGCAGGCCTGGCAGAGTCACATCAGCTGTGCACCCCCAGTCTGGGAGTGTTCCTAAAGCCTCGGTCAGGGAGGGAAATGTCCAGGCATTCCCAAACCACAAAAGGGAAAAGAGCAGGTAATTTCTTTAACAGAAGAGTTTTGAGCACTGGCAGTCCCAAACCGAGTTTGTTTCATTGCTGCCAGAGCCCGACCTGCTGCAGCCACCTCTGAGGGGCCTTCTGGTGGGCACACGCACCTGGAAGTCAACAGCTGCCTCAGAAACCACAGGGCAGGCTCTGCTTCCTTCTCCCTCACCCAGGTTTCATTGCCTTCTCATCCATTCCCGAACTGGATCGCAAAATCAAGATGTTCTTCGCCTTGGCTCCCATCACCGTGAACTCCAACATGAAGTCCCCCTTGGTGAGGGTGTTCGACCTCCCCGAGGCGCTGATCAAGGTGTGTCCCCGCCACAGGTGAGGTGTGAGGGGGAGGAGGGGCTGGGAAGGTCACCTGAGACACGCAGGGCTTGTACATCACCTCCACCTCCCCGCTCTGGGAGTTTGTGCGTGTGCTGTGAGCCTGGAGGGCAGGAAAATCCTCTCCTTGCCGAGACTTAATCACAGAACTATTAACAGGAATTGGTTTTGGGTCCCTTCTCCTGGGACAAACCTCTCCTAGGAAGGTCAGGGCTCTTCCAGGGCCGTGGCCTTTTCTGAAAAGCCAAAATGATGAAGCACAGCAAAGTTGTCAGCAACATTTGGGGGTGAACAAATAGGTGGGGAGCACCTGGAGGCAAAAAAAGAGTGTGATACACCCCACTGATCCACCCCTCTGACTTCCACAGATCATTTTAGGACAGACAGTGGTCTTTGATAAGGATGAGGTCTTGAAGCAAGTGATTTCCAGAATGTGCATCTACCCCATACTGAAAACCGTGTGCTCTTTGGTCTTTTACCTGCCTGGTGGGTTTACCAACAGCTTGAATGTGGTATGTACACTGCAGCTTCCCTCTCAGGAGATCCCCTTCTCTCTCAGGAGATCCATTTCTCTCTCAAGAGATCCATTTCCCTCTCAAGAGATCCCCTTCCCTCTCAAGAGATCCACTTCCTCACTGTCTGAGCCCAAGCTGTCCATCTGCTGCCTCCACATGGCCTTCCACATCTTTGGCTGGCAGAAAAATTCAGGCTGGAGCTACCAGGGTGGGGGTTTCTCAAGTAAAGCGTTGGTGTATTCCTTATTATTCCAAGAAGGAAACGTATTAGGAACAACACATAGAGCTACTGCCATGAGCTGAGCTTTGTCTTTGCAAAAGGATCCTGAGCACGAGGTATGGAGCCTTACTTTGCCTTGGGAACCAGGCATTCTCCTGCCATGGGAATTGCCCAGCTTGCTGCAGGGAGCTCTACAGCTCTGTGTGGGTGAGGCTCGTGTGGTTACTGAACAGGTTTGGTTTATTTCTGACATGGATTTTTTTGGGGGAGCAGAGGATAAACCTCTCTGATGGTTTCTTGCAGAGCCGCATGGATGTCTACCTGGCCCGCTACCCTGACTCCACATCCCTAAAAAACATGTTGCACTGGCGCCAGGTAACACATCGTGCTCTCCTCCCTGTGCTCAGGGGTGGGAACAATCCCCCACTGCTCCCCCTGCACAGCTGTGTAAGGGAGGGAGAGGAAAGCTGCCCTGAAACACTGCTGCAGATGAAGATATTTATTCCAAAAAAAGAGGTCCTTGGGGCTTGTAGGAGGTGGAGGTGGAACAAAGGCTGGTGATAAACCAGGAGATGCCAGAGTGAAGGCTGAGGGTCGGTAAGACCACTAATGATACAATTAATTACTGGAAATGTTCTACTCACGTCCTTCTGCTGCTGGCACTGACCACAACACACAAAAAACTTGCCCAAAGGTCTGATTCGTGTCTCCTTTGAGGCTCTTGGCTGTACACCAGGTTCTTCCCGGTGGGTTTCCTCGCTGAGGTCTTCCTGGGGCTGGGCCCTCCTCCCAAAACCCAGTACCAGATGTAAGAATGGTTTCCTGAGCCTTGGTGGCAGGAGGGAGCAGTGCAGTCCCCTGTCACCCGTTTTGTCTTTCTTAGAGCCCCCTCCAATGCATGGATAATAAACATAACTCTCCTTTTCCAGCTCTATCAGACAGGGGAATTCAAGCATTATGATTACGGCAGTGACAACGTGCTTCACTACAATCAGGTAAGAGAGAGCCATGCTCAGAGGGGAAAAATAAATGTTGCAATGGAAATATTGCCGTGGCTGAGACTGCATTTGGAGAATGGAGCAGCCTGGGCCAGTGGAAGGTGCCCCTGCCCACGGCAGGGGAGCTGGGACAAGATGATGTTTGAGGTCCATCCCAACCCAAACCATGCTGTGATTCCATTAATTACATGGTAGTTATGGAATTTGCTCTGTATGAGGAAGCAGGTTTGTAACTTTCTAATAAAAATAAGTGACTCAGTCACTCAGATGACTTTTTGACCTTCTGGTGAAAAGAAGAAGAGCCCAAGGCACAGTGAGGCTCCCTGGTGATAGCTCCTCTTCTATCCCTTGGGATAAGGGAGAAATTCCAAGCAGCCGCCAGGATACACTTTGAATTTTAGGCTTTCCCTTTACCTCCCTCCTGTCTTCCAGACCACTCCTCCCTTCTATGAGCTGGAGAACATGAAAACCCCTCTGGCTGCCTGGTATGGGGGCAAGGACTGGATTTCAGCCCCTGAGGATGTGAACATCACCCTGCCCCGTATCTCCAACGTGGCCTACAAAAAGTACATCCCCGAATTTGTGCACTTTGACTTCCTCTGGGGCAAGCAGGTCTACGAGCAGGTCTACAAAGAAATGCTTGACCTGATGGAGAAGGGCACCTAGAGCTGGAGCAGTGGCAGTGATTGGTGGCTTCTCAGTGACTTCTGGGGCTTCTTTCATCTGGGGGGGGGGTAAATGATTAAAAAAAAAAAAAATAAAAAAAAGAAGAAAAACTGGGGGGGGGAAAGCTCAATAAACTGCTACACTTGGTCTGGACTGATATTGCTCTGGCCAGGGAGGAAAACCAGGCAATCCAGCAACTGGGAAGCACTCTGGATTGAGATTCAGTAGGCTGAGGTCCCTGCAGAAGCTGAGCACAGCCCTCACTCCCTGAGTCTCCCACGTGCCCCCCTCACAACCAATTCAGTGGAACTTGGCTCCTGGTGGCCACTGTGGACTCTGGGCTCCTTGAGCTTGGGTTCCCAGCTGCAAACAGCTGGCCAGAAGCTCCATGCCCTCCTGGATGCTGGTGTCCCACAGGAGCAGGTCTGCTGGGATGAAGCCACGTGGTGGATGGATCCTGCTTGATTCACCTTCTGGCAGCACTTCCACACCAAGAATACAAACATCCTGGCACTCAGTGCCTTCCTTCACGGCTGGGAGGAGCTATAAACATCCTGCCTGGTGACAATGAAGAGTGGCCATAGGTTTGTATCCATGAGAACCTCCCACTTTACTAACAAAGGGGACATCTTTCTGAGATCCATGCTGATTTGGATAATCTTACTTATGCCCAAAGGAGTTTCAATAGGTTCTAGCAGGAAACACCATTTTGCACCACTTTAAGCTATTCTGAGGCACAAACCCAGCTGCAAAAGTCACCTTTTGCTGCCTCTCAGGGAGACAGAAGAAGAGTGTGGTGGAAAGCAGCAACGAGCCTAAATCTGTTTTCAGCTTCTGGATTAAATTGTTAATAATACCTTGATCAGAGGAGGAATTGTGAATTTGCCAGTTTGTGTAACTATCTTCTTAAAATATGTCTGGGAGCAAGCATATTTTAAAGGATAAAGTTCTCTTTCCACAAATACGTGATGATGATGATGATGATGATGATGATGATGATGATGATGATAATAATAAATTGGATAGGATCTACTGGCTCTGTGTGGTTGTACTGTTAACTAGAGGTTAAAACTCCGGAGGAATTGCTCCCTGGCAGGGTGGGCAGGCCCTGGCACAGGGTGCCCAGAGCAGCTGTGGCTGCCCCTGGATCCCTGGCAGTGCCCAAGGCCAGGCTGGACGGGGCTGGGAGCCACTTGGGATAGTGGAAGGGGTGGAATGAGATGGGCTTTGAGGTCCCTTCCCACCCAAACCATTCCAGGGTTCTGTGGGCGTGGGGGTTTTCAGCAAAGACCTCTTAGCACGTGCAGGTGAGGAAGAGCTGCTTGCCCAATGCTCCTCGTGCTCAGGGATCATTTCCAGTGGCTGGTCATGCTGGCAGATGCCCAGGGTGCCACCAGCATCTCCCTACAGGGAAGAGGTGGGCGGTGAGGAGGGTATGGAGCCCAGCACAGCTGCTCTCCAGAGCCAGACTGTGGGGTTTTAGCAGCTGAGTTTCATGCAGGTGTCTGGAGATGGTGGCACAGGGCTGGCTCTGCTCGAGTTACCATCTGTGAAGTGTTTCACTTTCTACCCTTACAGCTGGAACTGACCACAGCAGGAAAACAGGGCAGGTGAGGTAATCCCAGGGTGCAGGAATGAGGCTATAGGTCAGATAGGATCTGCCTGGATTGCCAGTGATTAGCTGCCTCACTTAGGATATTTGTAATGACATCTTTTTCCCTGTGATCAGCTGCTCACGGCAGGGCCGTGCCCTGGAGCAGCACCTCACAGGACTGCACTGTGCTCATGCCATGGATATCAATGAAAATGCAGGATGACTTCTCCACCTAGGAAAATAAACACACAGAGATGCTGGCAAGATGTTCCCCCTGCAAGCTTCTGAAAAACTGGCAAGAAATCAGAATCACAGAATCCTTAAGAGACCCCCAAGATCATCAAAGCCAACCATACTCACCACTAAACCACACCCCCCACCTACCATTTATTCAAATTCAGTTTTAAAGCACTAAATTTTAACTTCTGAAAACTCATTAAAAGTGCAGGGTTTAGTCTCTTTCTGTTCAGGTTATGAAGTTTCTACCACTCCTGCAATTATCTGGTTCAGTGTTTGCAATGCATTATCTTCATTCTCCCCTGACAGAGCACTTTGGTGAAGTTCTGGCTCGATCAGGTTCTGGTGCTTGCTTCCCCTCTGCTGTCAAAGGATCAATAATAAATGAAGAGGTGTGTTTTGGAAGTGAATTGATTTATGCCTGCAGAATAAATATTGTGAAATTCCATCTCCTGGGATGGCCATGGCAGGATTGGAGGCCTGGTGTGTCTCAGGTCTGTCAGGCAAGTCAAACACCACCAGACAGGTCTGTGGAGGCACAGAATCATGGAATCACAGGATGGTTTGGGTGGAAAGGAACCTCAATGCTCACCTCATCCCACTTCCCTGTGCCCTGTCCCTCCATCCCTTTTAAACAGTCTCTCTTTGTGACTCTTATACCTCCTTCAGTCACTGGAATGCCACAATTGGTCACCCCAGAGCTGTTCCTCCCCAGGTGAACAATCCCAGCTCTGCCAGCCTTTCTTCCCAGCAGAGCTGCTCCATGCCTCTGCCCATCCTGGTGCCTCCCCTGGGCTCTCTCCAGCAGATCAGTGTCCCACACATCTCAGTCCATGGTGATCCATCCAACCCCTCACCCTCAGGCAGCAGAGAGCCTTCAGCACCCTTTTCCCCTCCCTGAGTGGGCAAGCCAGCCTCAGCCACACGTGGGGAGGATGTCGCTCGCTCAGCCTCTGATTCAATTTTCTTCCAGCTGTGCTCACGCAGAGGGTGTCACGCGGGGCTGTGCGGGCTCAGAGCTGTGTCACATCCCGCCCAGGGCACAGCAGTGTCACCCTGCTGGCTGAGCCAGCGCTCCCCAGCAGCACACAGGGCAGCAGCACACGCAGCAGTCGTGGAGGGGGGCACAGGGCCAGCCCCAGGCTGTGCCCACGCTGAGAGATGCTGAACACCCCTAGCACTGCCTCCTTCCCACAGGCACAGGCTTGAAGGGAAGTGGTGCCTCTGCAAGTAACCCAAGGATTGCTCTGGTGTCTGCTTTAAGCAACCTGCTGGCCTCTGGGGCGATTTAGAAACTGATTTGTCCCAGAGGTAATCTAGGACAAGGTTTCATGGAGTTATGACGGATGGTGTGCCGCCTTTTCACATCTTTTTGATCCTTTACAGCCTGACAATGATTTCCAGAGGCATTGCTGAGTAGATTCAGGGTTTCATTTGGTTGAAAACACTGTGCTTCCTTATTTCAGCAATTTCCGTGTTATTTCCAATGCAATTTTCAAATTTTCTTTTGAGTTTGTTGGATGAACCTCTGAGAGAGAGAGAGACTCTGGTTTTGAGACTTGCATTTTCATGTGATGGGACTTCAAGGAGGTGGGAATATAAAGCCATGGAAAGTTACAGTTAGCTGAAATCAAGATCAGATGTTATTTTCTCTAAAACTTCACAAACCAGTGATGATCATGATGGTTCTTCCCCCAGGCAACCACTGACAGAACGAGAGGACACAGCCCTAAGCTGTGCCAGGGGAAGTTTAGGTTAGACATCAGGAGAAAATTCTTCACTGAAAGAGTGATTTGGCACTGGAATGGTCTGCCCAAGGAGGGGGTGGAGGGAGTCACCATCCCTGGACGTGTTTAAAAGAAGACTGGACATGGCACATCAGGTTGATGAGTTGATGGTTGATGAGGAGGTGTCAGGTCCTAGGCTGGACTTGATGATCTCCTAAGGTCTTTTCCAACCAAGTTCATTCTGTGGTTCTGTGATGACCCCTGACCCTGGACTGTGTCCTGTGGGACATGTTCCTGCTCCCTCATAGCCCTGATCAGGGCTTTGGCAAAGCTCAGCCAGATCAGCTTTTTTCTCCAGTATGCTGGAAAATAATCTCAAGAGCACTACGGCACCAAATTTGAAAACTGCAGGTGTTTCTTTACTGAGAAATTTTGCTCACGTTGTCCCAGATCAGCCACAAACCAAACTCTTTCAGCTGTAAAATACATTTTAAAGCCAGTTGTACAATGAAGAGAGATCAGGGAAGAAGTACAAAAATTTCAGGGTTGTTCTGGGCTCTTCTGAACACAGCAACAGGGGAGGAATTGCCAGAGAAGAAACACCAGTGACCACATCTCCATTATTTCCCAACCCACATTTATGCTTTTGTTTATTCCATTTCATTATAGAGAACGGAATGATTGCATGAACAACCCTGGCAAGGTGTTGGGAAAAGATCAGCGGTTTCCTCAAGCTCCACTGTGCAACTCCAGCATGGGCAAAACCCCTACCAAACGTGTAAAGCAGAGATATCCCAGCCTAGCCAAAGGGACTTTAAACTAGGAGAAGTACAAGCAGATAAGGACTGCTTCCCTCATCAGGTCCTTTAACCTGAGCCACGTTCTCCAAGGTTACTGCAAGGGAGTTGTGTTTATCTGGCAGGAATTGCACAAGAGCTGGCATTCTCTCCTTGCCAACATCAGGGTGCTACTCCCTTTCCCAGCTCGGGATGCCAGGACCAGGTGATCTGTGACAGCTTTACCCTCGTGCTTGGCAAGAGGCACCACCCTGGGCTCACAGCCTGGTGGAAAGCAGCAGCAGCAGGGCAGCAGCTGGAGGGAAGGTGGGCATGGGCAGCCCAGGAGAGGATTAACCCCAAGCCCAGAGCTGGGGAACGTGCTGCTTGCACCACGGTGTGCCTCAGAGGAGGTGACTCAGCAGCAGCAGACCTGCACCTGAGGGACAGCAGTGGGGACACAGCTGATCCCACGGGCTGTTTCCCTTCCTGTCGTGCCAGCAGCAGGTGGGGTTGCAGTCCTGTGATGCCTCAGACGAGAACATGAAAGGCATCCAGCGGCAATGCTGCATAATGTCTGTGAAGTGTGAAGCTAACAAGCAACACACCACACCAGAAGATGTAACTTTTGATTCTTAAAGGGCCCCAGAGGCAAAGAAAAACCCGGGGTTTGGGGGTCAGGCACAGGAAGCACATGGATGACTTGTTGGGTGGAAACCTTGGCCTTCCATGTCACACCTTGACCAGCCCACCTGGACACACATCCCTCTGGGAATGTGGGATCCCAGGGTGGTTTGGGTTGGAAGGGACCTTAGAGATCACCTCATTCCACCCCACTGCCATGGGCAGGGACACCTTCCACTACCCCAGGCTGCTCCAAGCCCTGTCCAGCCTGGCCTTGGGCACTGCCAGGGATCCAGGGGCAGCCACAGCTGCTCTGGGCACCCTGTGCCAGGGCCTGCCCACCCTGCCAGGGAACAATTCCTTCCCAATATCCCATCTAAACCCAACCTCCTTCAAGTCCTCAAAGGTCTTCATTCCTCCCTTTGGCTAAGGTACACAAGAGTTCCTCAGTAAAAATCCAGCTGCATTTTTTTTTTTAGAACCTTCTGTCCCTCCACCACAGGTGGAATAACCCCAGGTGCTGAATCACTCACCTCAGCACTGACACACTGCTCCCATGGCCTCATTCCACAGCCTGAGCATGTCAGAGAAGTCTCTGCTGCCTTTCCAACCTCTACTACTATTAATTTATCACTACTATTGCTACTACTTAGGACCTCCACTAGAGAGCGAGGAGTGGGTTAGAAGGCAGCAGCGTGGGCAGCAGGGGAGGGGGGATTCTGCCCCTCTGCCCCACTCAGGTGGGACCCCACCTGTGCACAGTCCTCATGCTCCCAACATAAGGAGGGCATGGAACTGTTGAAGCAGGTCCATGGAGCTGCTGAGGGGTCTGGAGCATCTTCCCTGTGGATCCAGGCTGGGAGAGCTGGGAATGCTCAGCCTGGGGAAGGGAAGGGTGTGTGGAGACCTCACAGCTCCTTCCAGGGCCTGAAGGGACACAGGGGAACTGGAGAGGGACCCTGCAACAGGAAAGATGCAGATCTGTCCCTGGAGTGCCAGGACACAGGGAATGGGTTCAGATTGCCAAAGGGCAGGGATGGATGGGATATTGGGAAGGAATTATTCCCTGGCAGGGTGGGCAGGCCCTGGCACAAGGTGCCCAGAGCAGCTGTGGCTGCCCCTGGATCCCTGGCAGTGCCCAAGGCCAGGTTGGACATTGGGGCTTGGAGCAGCCTGGGATAGTGGAAGGTGTCCCTGCCATGGCAGGGGGGGAATGAGCTGAGCTTTAAGATCCTTCCAACCTATACAAGTTCCATCCCACGACTCTCTGACTCTTTGCAGTGGGATTTTTATGCTCACATGCAAAGGAGGACATTTCCAAAAGCCCAGATCAGGCAGAGGGGCAGGAGGTAAGGAAGGAGGAAAGGTTCTGGCCAGGCCTGCCATGAGGAGGAAGGCACCCACAGAGCCCCTTTGTGCCAGCAGCAGCTGTGGCAGCGGGAGGAAATCTCAGCACGGCGATGGAGCAAGGCGTTTGTGTTTCACAACCCACATTCCCTGCCTCGGGAGGCAGCCTGACCCACAGCCAGGGAAGGCACACTCCAGCAGAGCCAGCCACAGGCTGGGCTCCCAGGTGGCTCCCAGGGCAGGGAAAGGCGTGGGCTGGCGGTCACAGGCTGCAGCTGGGGTACAAACACCCTGGCACTGCCAATTCCTGTGGCTTTGGCAGAGCAGGGGTGTTGCACCAGCTCTGCCCCACAGCTCTGGCTGCTGGTGAGACCTCCAGCCTAAAGCTTTCCTAGAGAACCCTGCAGAGCTTTTGTGAGTTGCCCCTTGCTAACACGACACTTTTAGACCTTACTGTCACTTCTCACGAGGGGTGGGATGCCCAAGTGTCTCCCAGTGAGGCCTGGCCTGTCCTTGGGGTGTCCTTGGGGAGCTCGGCATGCTGCTGAGGCTTTGGAAAGGTGGGAGTGATGCCTTAAGAATGATGCCTTAAGTTTTAGCTTTTATATTTTTCAGATTCTGTGCTGCTTTAGTGTGTAGGTCTGAGCTTCACATTAAGGGATGGTGAGCTCTCTGCACAGAGCAGGGAGACAAAACAATTCCTTCTCCAGTTGGGTACCAAGGACAAATGATCCAAATCTCAGCCCAAGAGCACAAACAACGTGGGGTGAAGAGAGAAAAACAAGCAGGATGGGACTGCATGGGCTGGAGCTGGAATTGGACAATTAACTCCAATATGCAAATGGAGCAGAACTTATAAAAGTGACAGACCCTGTGACAAGTTGTCCATTTTGTGACCATTTTGGTTCATCTTGGGTGCAGCTCTGGCTGGGCTCTTGTGCTGCCCAAGGTGCATCCATGGAGGAGATCCTTTTAATAAATCCCTGCTCTGTTCTTTAACTCTGTCCAGCCTCTGCTCTAGGTCAGCCTTCTCAAGGCATCAGTTCAGTCCAAGTTTTTTCTTGCCCCAGGAACTCTTCTAAATGACCCTGGGAGACAGGAAAATACCCTGGGAATTAGGAAAATACCCTTTACAAAGAAAAGCTGTTAGTTTTTTTGGTTTGTTTTGGTTTTTTTTTTACCCTGGCTTGTTGGCTTTTTTCTTTTCCACCCTGGCTATCAAGAGCTTAAGGTGCAACTCCATAGCTGGAATTCCTCAGCGCACCAACCCAGCTGCCTCTGCAAAACCGCAATCCTCTGCAAGCACGAAATCCACGTGAAGCTTCCCATGAAGGGAGGTGCCACAGGAGCCATCAGCACCCACCTGTTAATTGGAGGACACGTGAACAGCAAGTGCCAGCGTGGCTGGGCTCTGACACAGCGTGGTCCTTTTAACTCTGGTGGTGACAGAGCCACTGGCACTGCCGCCACCAGCCTGGTCAGACGTGCCACTGGGCTCTGCCTGGTAAAGTATTTCCCTCCGTGTCCTTCAGATTTGTGTCCTTTTGGAGCTGCCCCAACAGGGGGGAAAAGCATCGGTCGATCGTTTTTTATTTTTGGTCCTAACTCGCACCTTGGTGACACCACAGGTAGGTTTGCTGGGAGTGTTTCAGAGGGTAGGAAAGTGTCGTGGTGTGGGAGCAGAAGGAGGGAGGCAGAGTGTAATTCATAATTCATGCTGCTGGGCTGAAGTTAGGCTCTAACTTTTGAGAGCCTGGCAAAACATTAGAAATCATATGTAATGTTAAGTGTGTGCATTAAAAATAGGCCACTGCTCAGCTCAGGAGCATCTGAGGTGATCACAAAGGTTTCTGCTTTTTTTCCAGGCTACACTTATTTAACCAATAGCCTTCTTATGAGGCTGTACCAGTTTCAGCTCATAGGATCCTTCTGTTTACAGTGGGTTTTGAGTAGAAAAGCTAATCAATAGAGAAACACGAAAAGTATAGACATAGTCATAGCCCAGCCACACTAAACATGTTCCTTCCGTAGCATAAACTCCCCCTTTAGGTTAATTTCCTCTCTGACACAACTGGCCCAGTCTGGGATTATCCCAGTATTGGTTTCATTCTTGTTTTGCACAGCTGGTTCTCTTCTTCTTGCCATTAAAAATATAAAAAAGGCTCCTGCCTACTACCAGATCCTGTCCGTACAATATAAAAAATTGTCATGTGGACTGCAAAGAAAACCGAAATTGGGAATTCCTCCACTTTCCCAGCCCAGAAAATGATATGTAATCTTCAGATATGTGAGGAACCTAACAAATCCCAACCAAGTAGAAACAAACATTCACATCAATTCCAGTAACAATAACAATCAACAATAACAACAACAACAGCATCCGCGTTGCCGGTTTCGCTGTTGCCATTCCTGCTGTGGCTCCTGTTGCTATTATTACTATCATTATCATTATTTGTTGTTGCTGCTGTCGCTATTATTATTTACAGAGGCACAAGATGTGGCTGCTCATTGCAATCCTGCTCCTCGTACAAGCACCCACGAGCTCCGAAGGTGCCACCAGGCAGAAGAAGGCTCTAAATCCCGAGGCTCTCATGAACGTTGTAAGCCAGGAGAACTTTGAATTTCCTGTCTGAAGGCTTGGGCACGTTCAGCTGGAGGAGAGAGAGGTTTGGAGAGGGCTGGTGTTGCTGAGCTGCTGTGATATGATGCTGCCTCCACCCCATCATTAACAAGCTCCTCCTCCCAGCAGAATTAAGCACAATTACCAGCAGGGCAGTTAGAGATGGGGATAATCCCAGATTGGATTTGATCAGGTATCTCCCCAGAGGGTAGAAATTTGTGCGTGGCTCCTCTCCTTCAGCAGCAACAAAGTGCTCAGGGCCATGTCCAGGTGAGTCCTGTGAGGCTCTGAAGCTGGGTTATAAGATAAAATTGCTGCATTTAATCTTTCCTGCCAATCTCATAACACAGCAACCTGTGGGCAGGACCACAGCTGGAATTTTGCAGTCTGTGGAGTTTTCAGCATAAATAAAGCTCAGGCAGAGCCTCTGGAGCCCTGCAACGGATCCTGTGGGGTTCATCCCAGTGCCCTTCCAGTCAGCCCAGCTCGGCAGGTTCCATGTGCCCCACCACCTTATCTGCCCGGCTCATCACCTGGAGCCTGACGTGACATGTGCTGCCGTCGGTGTCAGGCGTCAGGAAATCGGTGCCAGCGGGGTCAGGCGTCAGGAAATCTTTTTGGTTTCAATGGTTTCAAGCCCTGCAGCCGCCAGCTCCCCTCCCGCCCACGGCTGAGCATCTCCCCTGCCCCTGGGCAGGTCACTGAGGCAGGGTTTGGACAGAGCATCCTCTGTCACAAAAAGTCCTCAGCTGAGCCAGAGACAGCCTGGGCAAAGCCATGTCCCACAGCTTCGGTTTTACCAAGTGATGTGCTCTTCATGCCTTCACTATGGAAAGCTTCCCACCTGGGTTTTTCTTCCCCAGAGCCAAATCATCTGCCACAGAGGGTACCCCAGCGAGGAGTATGAAGTGCTGACTCGTGATGGCTACTACATCCACCTGAACAGAATTCCTCATGGAAGAGAAAAGCCTAAGAACAGAGGTACAGCTCTATTTCACTCAGAGCCAGCCAAAAAAAAAAAAGCCCTGAACGTCAGCAGGGGAATGGATGAACCTGGACAGGCTGGGGGAATAGTCATTGTTAAAGCAAAAATACCGAATCCATGGGATTTCTCCAATTTACACTCAGATCTGTAGCACCAGAAGACATTGCTAAAATGCACATTTTGCACATCCTCTGGCAGCGCAAGGAAGAGGCTTTACTGGCCTTAATTTGGGGTGAGTGAATAGAGACAATGTGGCTCAATGAAATGCGCTGTTTCTTTTGCACCCAGGGGCCAAGCCAGTCGTGTTTCTCCAGCATGGGATATTTGGAGAAGGCAGCCACTGGGTGGAAAATCTGGCTAACAACAGCCTTGGCTTCATACTAGCAGACTCTGGCTATGACGTGTGGCTGGCAAACAGCCGGGGGACGAGCTGGTCCCGGAGACACCAGCACCTTTCAGCTGACCAGCTGGAATTCTGGGATTTCAGGTGGGCTGGAGCGCGTTACAAAAGCCTGGCCATGCTCTCTGCCTGTCAGCAGGCCCTAGGCAGAGGTGGGTGCCTCTGAGCAGGCAAGTCAGAGCACCTAATCCCTGGCACAGCCTCCCCCAGGGAGGATGGAGGGAGCTGAGCAGACCTGCCTGCTGACACGGTGCCAGCACCTCCCTGCAGCTGCCGAGAGCACGGGGCACTGCCACCTGCGTGGGGACACACAGAGACATCAGCCCTGCCTCGGGGGCCTCCACTGAGGTGTCCACAAGCGTCATTGCCACCTCCCCTGCTCCTAGACCTTGCTGCCCCTTGTCCCCCCTCATTAAGCTGCTACTGCCTCTCCAGAGCTGATCCCCAGAGCAGAATCCCCATGCTCATAAAGAGGCTTTTAGGAAAACCTCACACAGCAGGTCTGCCTTTCATCACCTCCCACCAACAGGCACACGGGCAGGAGCCAGTGCTCCATTCCCCTGGGGAAAAGAGCATGCCAGGGAGCAGAGCTGGTGCTGTAATCCTGGTGGGAGCCAGCTCTGGCTCTGCACAGAGGCTGGGCATGGCACTGGAATGCTGGCCAGGCTCTGCACAGTCTGTTTACTGCTCACCACGGCCGTGGGAGGAATAAGCCCTCTCAGGGGAGGATGATGCCATGGCGGGAGGGATCCATGCCAGGAATTTTCCCCTGGAAAATCAGCCCTGGATGTGGAGCTGGGCCATGCAAGGCAGCTCAGGGGAAGTTGCTGCCTCACAACCAACATCCCCCTCCCGTGCTGCAGCTTCCATGAGATGGCAATGTTCGACCTCCCGGCCGCCATCGACTTTGTGCTGCAGAAAACGGGGCAGAAGCAGCTCCACTACGTCGGCTACTCCCAGGGCTGCTCACTTGGTGAGTTCCAAAGGGTCACCCACCACCTTGACTCGAAAAATTCCATTTTGGTGGTTTTTTGTCAGCAGAAAGCAGAGGGCTCCCCTCTTTGTGGGCTTAAAAACCACTGAAGTGCCCGACCAGCCAAGGGAATAAAGGTGTTGCCTGCCTTTGGGCACCTCTTGCACCGACATTTAGCAAGAAGGTGGCAGGAGATCTCAGATTTCCAAGTGGAAATAACCAATTAAACAGAGCTGGGTCCAAGTGAGCCCTTGGATTAAGCACCTGAGGAAAGATGGAGCAAGTCTGAGGTTGTTTTTTCTGTTTTCTCAGCGTTTATTGCGTTTTCATCCATGCCCGAACTGGCTCAGAAAGTCAAAATGTTTTTTGCCCTGGCTCCAGTAGTGTCACTCAAGCACACCAAAAGTCCATTCATGAAGATGCAGCTCCTCGTGGACAACAAGCTCAAGATGATTCCGGTAAGGGATTACTCCATGCCCTTCTGCCCCAAAACTGACTGGTTCTAGAGAAGGGATCATTCCCAGACACAGCCCCTGGGGCTCTCTGTTGCAGCAGAAAACAGATAATTCCTGATGATTTATTAGCACAGACACAATTCAGGTGCACATACAGTCCTGGATGGCCTTGTTGAGTGCATGTCTTCTTTCCATCTGTAGGATAAACATGGTCTTTATATGGGAAAAAATCACATGGGACTCCATTTTCTTCATGGTGGGAAAAGCCCCTTCTTTAGTCACATAACTCCTTTTTAAACAGTTTTACAGACCTCATGTGTTACTCCAATTGGTCAGTAGCTTTCTTGCCAATTACTTTATTGGTAATTAACAAGCTGTTACCCTGTATTGATTGGTCACTCAAACCCCAGGTGCATACATGCAGGAAAAGTTGTTTGTGAGAGGTCATTTTAATTTTAATATCTAATGGTGTAAAAACACCATTGGTTTGTTCTTTACCCAGTGCCCCAGTGCGTACATGCAGGAAAAGTTGTTTGTGAGAGGTCATTTTAATTTTAATATCTAATGGTGTAAAAACACCATTGGTTTGTTCTTTACCCATTAATAGCTTGTTATGTTAAGGAACTGCACACCCCAGGATTGCTTTCATGTGGGAACTTGCAAAGGGCTAGCTTGACTTAGAAGAAATGACAGGTCAGCCAGGGCAGGCTTGATTTTATAAGGCTTTTCTTTATAATTTTTCTACCTTACTGCAACAGGGGCACTTGTAGGGGCCCTAGACCAAACACCTGGAGGAGAGCAGCCTTGCCATGTTGATTCCATGAAAAACAGATCCTGTGCTTGGGGGAGGTGGGGGGAAAGAGGAGAGCTGAGAACACTGATTTCCCTGGTGTGCGTTCGGTCAGCACCAACTCCTGCAAGGAGCTGTCCACATCTCTGTGGGGCAGGAGGGCAGGGGAGCAGCAGCCTTGACTCCTGGATATTCCCTTTACTGCCTGGCTGGTGGGACAGCCAGGGGCTGGGCTGCAGGGAGGGGACAGGAGGGGACAGCAGGGAACGCCCTTGGCGTCGCCCTTTGCTCCCGCAGGTGCTGCTGGGCAGAACGGACGCGTCCCTGCGGATCAGGAAGCTGTGGCGCTTTCTCCCGGAGCTGTGCAGGCACACGCTGCTGCACAGGCCCTGTGCCAACCTCTTCTTCCTGCTGGGTGGCTACAATGAGAAGAACCTCAACATGGTGGGTGTGCCATTCCAGTGGGGACAGGGCTGCTGCTGTGCCACCCACCCTGCCCAGCCTGCTACAGCCACTCGCCCCCAGTGCTTGCAGCAAGCAAACCCTGCATGGGCAACACGTGTCCCTGTGCCACATGCTTTTCCTCCTGGGACAGGAAAGGCCCCCCAGGCTCTGTCAGTGGCCAGGTGGCCCTTGCCAGCACCTCAGAATTAGGGGTGCCTGTCACTGCCACCACGCTGGGGTGCAGCCTCTGTGACCCACCTGCTGAAGCAGCCTCTGGGTGACCTCAGGCAGTCACTGAGGCCTTGGGCACAGCCCCTGAGCCCAGGTAAGGTGTCTCAAAGAGCTCGTCCTTCATTCCCACCACTCTCCTCCCCTCCTGCTATTGGTTTTTAATGAAAATTGTATTCCTGAGCCTGGTCCAGCTCTTCAGGCAGCGTGACTCAGCAGTGGCTGCTCTGGGAAACACCTGGCAGCTGCCACTCCACTCCCATCCGCTGGAAAGCACCCACAGCTGGGATTTGTTTCCTTGCAGACACGGCTGGATGTGTACACATCCCACTATCCAGATGGCACCTCTGTCAAAAACATCATCCACTGGGCCCAGGTAGGATCCCTGACACACGGATGCTTCCCCCCTGGGACGGTTCCCGCACTGAGAGCCAGGGCAGACACGAGAGCTCAGGGGTCCTGGACACTGGGAAAGTAAAGGCAAGAAATTAGAAGAGGTGCTGGGTGCAGGATGAGCTGCCCTGGTGCCTCTGGGGACCAGGGGACACCGCAGTGTGTGTCCTGGGCTGGGCCAGGCAGGACAAGGGACACGATGGGGAGGCCACAGATGGATGCTGGATGCCCCAGGAGTCACCAAGGCAGAACTTGAGGACATCATGGTGCTGATGGGAACTGGATGAGGGGGAAAACAGGGAGCCAACACCAAAGGGGTGCTGGACACCCTGGAGATGGACTCTGCAGCTTCAGCACTGGCCCTGCTGGAAGTGGGGTCAGGCTAGAGAACCCACCCATGTGGCTCCTTGCAGAGCCAAATTGTTGGTAATGGAAGGTGAAAAAGGGCAATCAGGTTGTTGAAGGAGCTGCAGCAGCAGCAGCCTGCACACACAGCTGGTGGTGAGCAGGATTTCAGAGGGAAGAGTGTGGCACCAGGGCAGCCAAGGAGTTACATGGAGCACCTTGGTTTGTCACCCCACAGCTAGGGACAGGCATGGAGCCAGAGCTCAAAAAGCCACCCTGTTAAAAAAGGTGGAATGCCATCTCCTCCTGCAATGTCCCACGGGTGAGGACACCAACATCTCTCCTTGTCCTGCCTGTCCCCAGCCAGCTGGCATGGTTGGAGATGGGCACATGGAGGGCAGGGAATTACACAAACCCCTTCTGAGCACCCTCTCATGATGGGTGCCTCAAAGGGGCCAGGAGATGTGAGACTCACACAGAAGCAAATCCATCCTTCCACAGCAAGTCCATCCTGTCCCAGCAGATCCATCCTCTCACAGCAGGTCCATCCTCTCTTCCCAGGTGATAAAATCTGGAGAATTCAAAGCCTTTGACTACGGCAGCGAGAACCCAGCTAAGTACCACCAGGTAGGAGCTGCCTGGCAGTGCTGGCAGCTGGAGATGCTGGGGGTCTGTCCAGGGTGGTGCAGGGACAGAATGGCTTCCTTGAGCACCTGAGAGCCCCCCGTGTCCCCCCAGGACACACCGCCCTTGTACCGCGTGGAGGAGATGCCGGTGCCCACAGCGGTGTGGTCGGGAGGGCAGGACTGGGCAGCTGACTGGAGGGACGTGCTGCAGCTGCTGCCCCGCATCAGCCACCTCGTCACCTACACCCACATCCCCGACTGGAACCACTGGGACTTTGTCTGGGGCCTGGACGCCCCTGGGCGCCTCTACAGCAGCATCCTGAGGCTGATGGAGGGGTCCCGGTAGAGCGGCGGCTCCCGGGGCAGTGCCAGTGGCCTGGCCCCTGTCCCTCAGCTGAGACAGCCTGAGGAGAGGGTGGGACACTCCCTGCTGTCCCCTCCTTCCTGCTGGCCTGACACGCTTGTGGTGATGGTGCTTTCCACATCCCTTGGTTGTTGGGGTCTCTCCTTGCTTGGGAGCTCTGCTGGCACCGTGCTGGGAGGGCAGCACCGGGGTCAGCCGAGGCACCAGAGCAGGCAGGAGCCACCAGCCCTGCTGGAAGAGCCCCAACACGATGGTGCTGACCCAGGGACATATGGGGACCCTGCCAGGACCCCGGAGTGGCTGCTCAGTGGGTTGTGGATTAGAGCAGCCAGGCTGTGAGGAGGTGGGGGCAGCTGGGCCTGTTGAGTCTGGCTGTGGGGGGACAGGCTGAGAGCAGCCCCCAGCCGTGGCACACAGAGGAATGCAGGGGATACATGAGGCCAAACCCTTCTTGGCAGCAGCCACAGGAGATGCAGCGAGGGGTTCTGGCCCCAGATTGCAGCACAGGGGGTTCAGGTTGGATTTGGAGAATCCTTTTTCCCCAAGACAAATCCCCAGGAAGTGGAAGGTCGCCATCTGGGCCAAGGCAGGCAGCTGCCTGCATTATCTGGGCAGGAGCTCAGGGGCCAGGGGTCCCCAGGAATGGCTGCTTGGCTCAGCACCAAGACACTGGGAATGATCATCCCTCATCCCTGGGAGCTGGTGACCCAAATGCCCTGGGCTGGGTTGCAGGGCCACCATCCCCCCAGGAAGCTGCTGCCAGGCTGATGTCCCCAGCCCATCCCACCCTGCTGCTTGCTGCAAACCCGGAGGTGGAGAAAATCCCTCCTAAATAAATACTCAACGGGGGTTTCAGGAGCCTGTGCTTTGACACCCCCAGCTCTTCCTTGCATGGGAATATTTTATGGGGAGCTGGCAGGACCAACAGTGACACAGGGCCAGCTGGTAGAGCAGGGTGGCACCGTGGGTTCTCCGAGGGTCCCAGCTGGGAGTATCCCAGTACATCCACTACCCTACCCCACCCCTGGGCAGGGGGCAGGAACTCTTGCTGGCAAAAAAAACCCCCACCAGACAGCCTTGGGAGTGGAGAGTTTTATTGTATCCACGGAGGTTTGGGAATCACGGGTGGTGAGGGGTGGCACTGGCCCTTGGGGCAGCTCTGCTGGGATGTGTGCGGTGGAACCGGGGGGCGATGGGCACCCACTGCTCCTCCACCTTGCCAGGCTGGCCGGCCCCCGTCTAAGGTGGATGGGCGGGAGCAGAATGGGGAGAGGAGGAGGGTGGAAGGTGGTCCCAGGGCTGCCCCTACTCCAGAGGGATCCCCTCTCCCACCCGGCCTCCCCCTGCCCTCCATGGGTGCAGGCAGCTGGTTCATCACCGCACCGGGACCCACGGGCATCCATCCATGCCTCCCTCCATCCACTCCCCCATCCTTCCCTCCATCCCTTCCTTCCTCCTTCCCTCCCGGCCGAGCTCGGGCCGCTCCAGGGGCGGTGCCGTTGGCGGCGGGCGGTGCCGGCGGCGGCGGAGGGCGGTACCGGCCGGCGCGGGCGGCCATGGAGGGCAGCGGGCCCCGGGTG